GGAGGCTGAAGAGGTCCAGGTGGCCTAGTCTCTCCTCGTAGGGCTTGGCCTGCAAGTCCTAAACCATACGAGTGGCCCTTCTCTGGACCCTCTCCAGGTTATCCGCATCCCTCTTGAAGTGTGGTGCCCAAACTGCATGCAGTATTCCAACTGCGGTCTGACCAGCACTCGATAGAGGGGAAGTATCACCTCCTTGGATCTGTTCGTCATGCATCTGCTGATGCACGATAAAGTGCATTAGCTTTTCTGATGGCTTCGTCACACTGCCAACTCATGTTCGTCTTGGAGTCCACTAGGACTCCAAGATCCCTTTCCGCTTCTGTTCCACCAAGCAGGTCATTTCCTAGGCAGTAGGTATGCTGGACATTTTTCCTCCCTAGGTGCAGCACTTTGCATTTCTCCTTGTTGAATTGCATTCTGTTGTTTTCTGCCCATATGTCCAACCTGTCCAGGTCTGCTTGTAGTTGTTCCCTGCCCTCCGGTGTGTCCACTTCTCCCCACAGTTTTGTGTCATCTGCAAACTTGGACAGAGTACACTTCACTCCCTCGTCCAAGTTGCTGATGAAGACATGGAAGAGTATCGGTCCAAGGACCGAGCCCTGCGGGACCCCACTGCCCACACCCTTCCAGGTCGATACCGACCTATCCACTACGACTCTCTGGGTGCGACCCTCTCCTCTCTTCCTGACTTCAACAGTTGAGTTATATACAACATCTGTCTTCTGGTTTGAACACTTCAGAGCAGGGTTTTGAGTGTGAAGCACCTCTGGTACTCTCTAAATAGAGACAGTATGCTTTTCAGGTAAGCAATGTGCTTTGGATGTTTGGAAAGCATTTGGCATATTTTGGGTACCAATGCAATCTAAATAATTAGTATGCAATTCATAGGGACAGTAAAGTGCATTTTATTTTCTAAAGACTGGTATTAAAGACTATGGAAGCCTGCTTCCATCATAGATGTCGGGTGTCTAGCTCTTCATACCAGCCAGTTTAAGTAGTTGTATTTTGTTTGTATTACACCTGGCAACCACCCTACTGGGAACATAGACACTACCTAATAATAAACAGTGATGTGCAGAAATACTCATTGCACTTGAAAGCCCACAACAGTCAACAAAAAATAACTGAATATACATTTGCACTGTAAGAGTTCTTGCCAATACTGACTTTTTTTCCATTTCTCTCCTGCAGCTCCCTGCCCAGGCAGTACTTACTTTTGCCATAGCAACATGTGCATCAATAATTCTTTAGTCTGCAATGGCATTCAAAACTGTGCATACCCTTGGGATGAAAATCATTGCAAAGGTGAATATAGTACTAAATGTAACCTTTATGATCCAAGACTGTCAGTTTGCCTTTCATTTAAGAAAGTCATAAAATATATTTTCCTACAAATGTGCTGAGGATAGCTGTTCTGCTAAACTCAGGGAGATGTTCCAAATTTTTAATTTAAAACCAAGAGGTCTATAACTGAGTTGAAGAATGATATTCCTGTCCCTGTAATTAAATATCTCATACCCTTAGCAAAGTATATTTGAACATTTAAGCAGAATGTTGGCCTACTCTGAAATATGCTTCTGCATTTGCCAGGCTTGTGTCGTCATCTGTTCCTAAACCTTTAAGCTTCTGCAAGGAAAAATCCTTAGTGTTTGAAGAAGACTGTTTGTTAGCATATGAATACAATATAAATGTAGTTACAGCAGCTGTGCAAGCACCTTTTTCAGGTTTGTGGCCAAACTGAACGAAAATAATTTCAAGTTAACTTGAAACCAAACATTTCTGTTTTCTTTTCTGCCAAAACAAAATAAAAACAACTTGTTTGGGGTCAAACAGTATATCAGTTAAACTGAAACAAATAATTATCTTCCATAAATTTTAGCTCAATTTCAAAATAAAACTTTTCAAAATGAGAAGTCAAAACATTTAAAGAATTTGAGAACATAAGAACTGCCATTTGCTGGGTCAGACCCCAGGTCCAACTTGCCCAGTGTCCTGGATCTCTCAGTGGCAGAGAGGGGAGGCTGAAAGGAGGTGGGAACTGGGTATGACCAGGGTGTTTTCCCCACTGTTCCTCTCGCTTGCAGCCTCCAGCATTTAAGGTCTAGGAAGTTCTGATTCAGAGGCTGTATCCCTAACTCCTGTGCTTAATAGCTACTGATGGCTCTTTCCTTCAAGAATTTGTCCAGTCCCTTTTTGAATCTAGTTACTGTCAGCTTCCACACACATCGGGTGGCAATGAGTTCCACATTTTAATGGCACGCTGCAATTAAAAATCTTTTTTATTTGTTTTAAAATTACTACCTACTAGTTTCATTTTGTGACCCCTAGTTCTTGTATTGTAAGAAAGAGTAAATAATGAATCCCTATTTACTTTCTCATCACCATTTAGTATTTTGTAAACACTTATCTTGGCCTCCCTCAAGCTCTTTTTTCTAAACTGAATAGGCCTAGCCTAGTTCTTTGGTTTCTCCTCGTATGAAAGCCCCTCCATACCCCTAATCATCCTTCTTGCCAAAGTAAAATATTTTCAACTGGAACTATTCACTGAAGTCAGTACAAATGAAATTACTTTTGGGTGACTCAAAACTACATATTTTGACAAATTATCTTTAAAAAAAAAAAAAAAAGAATTACCCAACTCCAGTGGCTACTATATTACAACGTCTCTCACAATACAGTGTATTTCTAGTTTATATTTTTTATTTAAATGTATTAGTGGCTTGCAAGTTTCCCACATAAAATAGATTTCCTCTAACTGAAGTCTTGTCTGTGCTAGTATTGTATATGACAGAACAGAAACTGAAGTAACTTTCTGAGATCTATTTTCCTTGACTACAAATGTTTTTCTGGAATGTACATTTTGTCTAGATTTCTTCAATTCACAAATCAATAGTATTTCAAGGATGAATTCTTTATGAAACATATAGCAACCAGATAGAGACTGCCTTTCCCAGCATTTTTAAACTATTATCTTCTGAACTAAACTACCCATCATATTTTAACTTTACACACCAGCTGGTATAAGTGATCGGAAATAGGTTCAGATCTGTAACATAACAGAAGTTCAGGGCACATAAACCTTAACTGACTTAGGTTAACTGATTTAGATTAGGTTAGGTTAACAGACTTAACTGATTTAGGTTAAATGAGTTTATTGAACTCCTGTCCCAGATCCCCTCCAGACTCAAGTTAACTCATAATCCCCCAGCATCCCAGGATGGTTTACACCTCCCCCACAAACTCTCCCCTCACCCTATTACAGGGTGGATGAGCTAGGTTTGGCCTAAGCTGTCCCAGCCAATCAAGAAGGCTTGCTCTAGCACCCCCTGGCTTCTGGATTGAACCACTGCAGGCATGTGGCTGCATTTCTGGAATCAAAATGAATGCCTGTTCACTTGCTTATCAGTTCAATCTATGCAGCTTAGACTAACCTGCGAAGATTGAATCGATTCAGCCTTGGGCTTTTTGACTGTCTGTACTTAGCCAATGAGAATTTTTTCTCTCAATTTTAATACCTAGCACCAGAACAAATGATGGAAGGCACCAGGTACTAGATCCCATAAACAACTTAGGCACCTAAAGTAGGACTTGAATGGAATTGAGACATCTGTTTCCCAAAACTTTAAGCCCCCAAATCCCTGGTCAGATACTAATTGATCCTGGTGGTACTTAAATTCACTAGGGCTGCTTGCAGACATTAAAAAAACAAAACAACAAAAAGCAGTGCTTTAATTTAAACTTGGCACAGTCCTACATTGAGCCCAGCACCTGCCCAGAAGAGGCAGTGTGTTAGTTGGACCCAGTTCGCCCAATGTCTGTATAAATTGGGCACTTTAGGGCTTTTTTGGTAATGTATCTAATAGCTGATTGAATCAGCTTTACCTAAAAGCACCAAAAGCCCCACTGAAGCTCCTGATCTATACAGAAGCTGTGGAGCCAAGTCAAAGTAATTTGCTGCTTCTGATAAAGCATATTTTTGGGTTTTGAGGTTTTTTAATGTATGCAAGCAGCCTTAATGCCTCTCTGAACTTTAAAGTTTTCTAGGCCCCTAAAATTCTTCTGCACATGCCCAGAACCAGGGCCAGACACAGGCATGGGCAAACTGGGCAGCCGCCCAGGGCCCGAACAGAAAGTGGCCCCAAAAATGGTAATTTTCTGATTATTATCGTCATTTTCTCTGGCTTACATCTCCCATTTTGCAGGAGAGTGTCCTAAACACCTAGCTATAGACCCACATGTTTGGGGTCATTCTGAACCCCTCCGTGCAGCCAATGAATACAAGAGTAATTAAAGAACCATGATGCTGTGGCCTTGTGTCTAAGGGGACATTAAGTTATTAGATAAAAGGTGGGTAGCACCACCTCCTCCTATTTCTCTACCATTTCTGGCTGTGTTTTAAAAGAAAAAGGAGCAATCCCTACTCTTTGAAGAAATGGTGCTATGCCCTGGATCCTGAATGGAGAGAGGTACCTGCCTGTAGTCCTAAAGTCTAAAGTCCTAAAGGCACCCAAGTCGTAGAGGGACAGAATTTCAGACGTTGTTTTGTCTTTATTTCCTGTTAGGTAATTCCATGCACCTCCCTATTCAGTACAAAGGCTTTTTGGATTGCCTTCTGCCCTGTAACAAGTTGTGGATGCATTCTGGCAGCCCGGCATCTGAAAGTTAGGCACTGTTTCACCTACACATGGCCCATGGCACCTAGCACTTGGGTACCCAAGTTCTCTCTTGGACCACATCCTAAATAATTTGACTGTTTTCCTTTGAATATTGTATTCTATCCATGCACATTCCTTTAGCAAGTCAGGACCAATACTTTTTCCAGAGTAAAACATTATTTGAAATTTTGGGTTCTAAATAAATATTTTAAATGCGAAAATTGCTATAATCTGATACTGCCATCTTGTGTACCTTCATATGAAGTGCTACAAAGCATCTGTTCATATGTTTTTAACTGATCTTACAACATGGGCTGTTACAAAACCTGCAGTGAAATAGATATGCTGTAGGTCTAATTATACAACTTCCTAACGAAGTAAAGAAAACTAAGTATTTTAAGGACTGCCCAAATTTGGCACCTGGAGAAGTCCACGGATATCACTAAGACTGTTGTCAGCACCAAGACTGGGCCCTTTGAGTTTAACTTTTATTTTCTAAGACTGATACAAAGTTTAATTAATCATAGGTATGTTAATCTTACAGTGTCAGAGGACATGTCTACACGTGCCCCTGACTGCACAGTTGGTACTGCGCAGTCATTTAGTACTTGCTTTAGTTAAGCAAGTACTAAATGACTGCGCAGTACCCAGTGGTACTGTGCAGTCCCAGTGGTTCATGGGTAATTTTCGACCCTACTGCATAGTAGCAGCGGCACCATGGTTAGTGCATGCTGACACTGTGTTGCTGTGGAGACAAGCTACGTCGCCCTAGCTCATTGCTTTGGTGACGTAGCAAATTGTGTAGATGTGCCCAGAGTGTCTTGAATTTTTGCTCTCCTGTGGATGCAGGGCCATTGAATCCATAGATACTATGCTCATATCAGTGATCAAATAGAGCCTGCTCTTTTTTTCATATGTTGTAAAGTATATTAACATATGACTGCTAATTATTGTAAGTTAGTGTAAACATAACATTATATCAAAATATTTCTAAGACATTTCAGACAGATTCACATCCATCTTTTTCTCTCTTTCTGCAGAAAAGAAAAAAACTGGACTGTTTGAACAAATCACCAAAACTCATGGAACAGTCATTGGCATTACATCAGGGATAGTTCTGGTTCTTCTTCTTATTTCAATTCTGGTCCAAATAAAGCAGCCCCGCAAAAAGGTTATGGCTTGCAAAACTGCTTTCAATAAAACTGGTTTCCAAGAAGTATTTGACCCTCCACATTACGAACTATTTTCATTAAGGGATAAAGAGATTTCTGCAGACTTGGCTGATTTATCAGAAGAACTTGAAAACTACCAGAAAATGAGACGCTCCTCTACTGCCTCTAGATGCATCCATGACCATCACTGTGGCTCTCAAGCCTCCAGTATAAAACAAAGCAGGACCAACCTCAGCTCCATGGAACTGCCTTTTCGTAATGATTTTGCACAACCTCAGCCAATGAAAACATTTAACAGCACATTCAAGAAGAGTAGTTATACTTTCAAACAGGCCCACGATTGCCCTGAGCAGGTCATAGAGGACAGGGTGATGGAAGAGATTCCTTGTGAAATATACGTCAGGGGACGAGAGGATGCTGCACAAGGCTCGTTATCTATTGACTTTTAATCTCCTACCGAAGGCGATATTGGTGTATATATGGGTGTGGGGGAGGGGTGTATACACACACGTCATATATATATGACAGTGTATATACAAAAATATGTACCATATGCAGTGTGTGTGGATATACACACTTTTAGCTTACTGTATCCAACTCCATTTTTTTACAAAACAAAGTCTTCATAACCAGTGGTGGACTTCCTCCTACCTTCCCAAGCCATCCATCTAGTTGAGCAACAAAGCTGCAGGTTTTGCATGGGAATCATCAGTTAAGGATATTAATAAAAATTACTAATAACTGATCACTGAAAACAATGACTAGAATCTTTTTCTCCCTCCCCTCTGTATCATTTTCCCTTCTTTAAATATTTAGTTTTCAAGTCAAAATTAACACTTCAGTTACTTAAGTAAAGAAAAGTGGTTTATGCAACACATATTTTGACATAAATGTCTTAATGTATTTGTCAAGTTGCAGCTAGAATTACAGTGCTGAGTGCCAATTAAGACTCAGTTATGTTACATCCATCTGCTTCATCCTGACTAACTTTTATATTGCCTTTAATTACTAGTTCTTGGTCTCTGTATTTGTGAAACATGTGAAATGGCTTATTGCCTTTAAGAGTAAGAATATTTTGTTTTAGTTATAGTTTTGGGGTTTTTTTAGCCCATTTGAGAATATGGCCTTTGCAGCTTGTGAATAAACCTTAACCCAGTCCTAAAATATTTTTCAAATTTTCAACATTTATTCTTATAAAATAGCTTCCTTTCAGGAAGGTCTGTGATTTAGTATACAGTGGGCCAGATTCTGCAATGTGTTACAGTCATACAGTTCCATTGAGTTCACAGCTGTGTAACTAAAGCAGAATTTTGGTTATTGTTTTCCAAGTAGTTCTAGAAATCGATTGCATTTTTGTGGTTCTGTACATCTGCATCCTACAGCAGTCCCAGTCCTGTTATCCTTTTATATCCAAACTCCCCTGATTAACTCAGTTCTGGGTACTCTGGGTTCATTCCCAAACTGCATAGGGAGTATAGGAGCAAGCCCACTATTTGTTAAGTTTTGAGATCTGTGATGACTAAGGTGGGAGAAGCTGGTAGGGACAAGGAGAAATCCCAGAGTAACTTCACTTAGCCTTTAAGTCTTCTTATTTAAGAGTTTCATTTTTCTAGCACTTGTTTCCATCTTGCAAAATTGCACATTTCATACATTTTTTTTTTAATTGTGGGTTTGATCTCATTTTGATCATCTTTTTATGGTATGACACAATTTATAACATATGACTATTCATTGTGGGGGTTTTAGACTTTTATATAATTTGATACTGTACAGACTGTTTATTAAATCAAGATTTAACACCTGTACAGCACATTTATTTCAGCATCCATAGTAGTGGCGTTGAACAATGTGTGTGAGTATACACTGTAATTTGTAAAGAATACTTCATATTATTTCTACATTAGCCCCTTTCACTCCCTAGTTTGTTTGAGTTTTTGTTTTGGTATTTTGTTTCAGAGGGAATAGTTTTCTTTCACTAAATGTGACCTTGCAGCTCTCAATCACCGGACACAACCTATATTAAAAAAAATACATAAAAACAAATTATCCTTAAAGGTTCTTTTGTTGAACTGACTGCAGTACAGAAAAATGTTTCAGTTGCTAAAAGTGGACACAAACACTTTTTTTTTTCTTTTTAAAATGAAAATATAAATGAAACTGTGACTTAAATTGCTGTTTTCCACTATGGTTAGATGGGGGAAAAAAAAGCAAAATGCTAATATCAACAACACTTACTCAACAGTGGTATTTGTGCCATGTTTACCTTTTGTGCTTTTGAGAGACACCACAGTGCCAGTTGCCATTTAAAAGCAGGATTTGCTTCATATTTAATTTGTGGATGAAGTAGAAAAGGAAGCCTATGGCTATCAGCTAGTAAATATATAGAAGGGACAATTCAGGGTTACTGGAAGGTGCATAAGGAAGCCTCTAAATTTTACATAGCTGATTTATCATGACAATGAAGGTGAATGCCATATGATTAATTCATATTTGATACCATTGGTTCTGAAATGCTGCAACCATTTAGAAAGAGGTAGGCAGCTATATTAGTCTAAAGTCAGGCAGAAGAGAGAGTAGAGATGCACCTTAGAGACTGACTGAATCAGAGATGCACAAGCTTTTGGGAGCAAGAGTTAATTTCATGACATGCCACAGGAATCTTAATACAAGAAAAGCAAGGAATTGCCCTCCTTTATATAAAATATAATGATCACCAGGCTGGGTACAAAGAAGAAGGGAATGTTATACATATTGCCTATACTTAATAAATTCAAATATAAGAAAATAATGGAAAGAGTTATCTCTGACCTACAAGGAAACTCTATATGGACTCTTGCCAAAGTTAACATCAATTTTATGAATGAGAACAGAACATCTTACAAGTCTATGAGGCTTTTATATATTTTAAAGGCACCTCTGTCAGCTACACAAGTCCTTCTGACTCGGGAAAAGAAAGATTTCTTATTCTCAACCCAAATTATTCATTCTTATTTTTTTTAAAGTCATACATTCTGTTTGTTCAACTCGAGTGATTATTGTATTGCTCACATAGTGTACTACACACATGCTCAGTTTACAGTGCACAAATGGTACTGAGCTCTGGTACCTGAAAAGGCAGAACCGAGTTGGAACTAGAGTCGGGGACATGTGAAACAAAGCAATTTGCATCCTTTGGAAGGTGCAAACATTTTATTCAATTTTGATTTTTCTGCATTTCAGCCTCTCTATTTCAAATTCAAATGGACTCAAAGCAAAATGCAGTCAAAGCCACTTATTTTCACATGGCGTCAACAAAAATCCATATGTGTGCCCTAGGTTTGCTCAAAAAGTCTTTGAATCTTTTGCCAGTCAATAAGCCTCCTCATTAGGGGGTCACAGTAAAAACAGGTAAGACTGTTCTAACTGTAACTGTTTAGGTCTGTTAAAATTGTTTAACACTATATATTAATCATAGGATATAGCAGTACTAAGGGGCTTTTACGTTAAAATTGTTTTGTTTCTTCTCAGTCTATTACTGATTTCAACCTGATTGATTATTTCATCAGTTTGTACTGTAAAAGCTGATATCCGGGACTTTTGTCCCTGTGATCTCTTCCCCACAACCTGCCTGTCCCTGTATAGGATAAACTTTAAAGATGTGCTTCACTGTGGTATATAGTCTGGTCTCCTCTAATGTGATAGCTAGCATTACCATGCAAGAGGAAGGCTATTTTTATTCGGGTTCTTCTGCTGCCCTCTGTTTGGAGAATCAGCTTAACAAAATCTGTTTTCCATCTGCTTCACATACCACTTACCCCAAACATCTCTGAACTCTCCACTTGCTCCTTCTCATCCAGCTACTGTGGATAATCCAGTATACACCAGATAAAACAGCTTAATTTTCATAAGCCCATTTGATCCTATAGAGTCAGATTTTGGAAAAAAATAATGTTAAGACTTGATGCCTTTGCATGTCTTTACATTACCCATGTGTCATTCTTAGTAGTGGCTTCTAAACTGGAAAATACTTGCTGTGTTTTCAGTCAAATTGGCTTGGGAGGAAGAAAATATATGACAAACGAGCACAGCAAACAGGCACATATGGCATATGCACTGCAAGATGAATGTTATCAGGTGCTTGGGTTCTGGTTGGCAGCAGCCCTATTCACAGTCAGCTACTACTTCTAGCTCCTCTGTCACTGAAGGGGGTCTGTCTAGGTGCCATTGCTAAGTGGGGTTATGCATAAACTTTGCTGATCACAGTGAAAGTCCCTTTATGCTGCTCTTGCAGTGCAAAGAGAGTAAGTAGGAAGTAGTATCAGTTTTCCTCTGTTCTCCAAGTACACTAAGTCACAGGGGTTAGGGATATGCTTTGAAGAAGTTAGTGGGCCAAAGAAAAATTCCACCCAGTTACCCTTACTGTTATAACCAAGGTTACCTAACTCTACATAGCTCTTCTTTTCCCACAGTATGGCTCAACAGGTTTGCTTCTGAAAACCACTTCAGCTGGGCCTTGTTTTAGAAGCAATCACCTCACCTTTTACTGCAGCCTGCAAGCTTAACACTGCTATTTCTTGGCCGGGTCAGTCAACACAGGATGGATTGTGATCTACTCTCTCCAATGGTGATGAAGACTGAGAAGGATACAGGGGAATAGAAAAAAGGAAATTTAAAGAGTCAAATACTATAAAGGGAAAGGGTGGAAAAATATGGAAATATGTGAATGTAGAGGGTGGACTGGGAACAGGAGACTGATGGAGAACACGAGAGGAAAAAATGCCAATTCCACACCACTGTCCTACAGGATAAGATTGTTAAAAGACTCCTTGCCTGAGCAGCCAGCAGAAAGGTGTGCTATTTTGGCAGCTTATGTGCACTATTTTGGCTGAAATTTGAATGGGAAACATACATAGAATTTGAGAGTAGATAAGTTCCCCAAAGCCCTGAGAGAACTGAAGACATGTTTAAAACTACATTTTTATATATCTCATAATATATCTCATAATTTAAAATAATACCATATTTTGAAATCTGAGTCTCAAACTTTCAATAGCTGGCATTGACAATGCTACCAATGTTTATAAAAATAACAGGCAACGTGGAGTCTCTGCACTTCTATTTCCCATCCACCAACAACAAAGGTCCTGAGGACTCCTCTAAGATTAGACTATCATCTGCCTGGCCAACCCAAGATCACTGACACATATCATATCCTAGGGCTGTGCGAAATTTCACCAGCTGTTTCGAAATAGCAAAATCAAAATGAAATGAAGGGCTTTGAAACAGCGTCGAAACAAAACAAGGCCAGTTGAAACGTTTCGGAAGTTTCAAAACATTTTGAGTTGTGAAGTGGCTGTCAGGTAGTGGGAGGCAGGGGAGAGCCAGGGCTGTGCTCCCAGTGACTCCGCAGCCCCATGTGGCAGCTGTGGCTAGCCCTACCTCCTGCTGCTGTGCTATGCTCCGTGGGGCTGGCGGAGCCAATAGGAAAACAGCACTGGCTCTGCCCGCCTCCCGACGCCGAGATGCGCTCCCATCGGCTCCACCAGCCCCATGAAGCCCAGCCCGGTGGTGGGAGGCGGGCAGAGCCAGCACTCTGCTCTGGCTCCCTCCACCAGGCTGAGTTCCACGGGGCTGGAGCTGCTGGGAGCTGAGTCCGGTGGAGGGAGGCGGAGCACAGTGCCAGCGCTGCATACCGCCTCCCTCCAGCAAGCCTCTAGGCACTGAGCCTGGTGGAGGGAGGTGGCCATCTAGCTGCTTGTTGCCCAGTAGAGGGAGGCGGTGCACCCCCTCCCCCCACCAGGCTCAGCGCCCAGCGGCTCCCAGCCCTATGGAACTCAGCCCTGTGGGGGGGAAGCAGAGCACAGCACTGGGGCTGCACCCTGCTTCCCTCCACTGGGCTCAGGTCCCAGCAGCAGCCTCCCGCCAGCACCCCCAGGAGGGCTCTACCGGACTCCTCCAGGGGTGTGGGTGAAACTCGAAACCGTCAAAACAGCAAAACTGTTCTGATGAAACGAAATGGAGCAATGCTTTCAAAATGAAACTAAACTCGAAACGAAACACTGTTCCATCAAAATGTCGAAACAGAAGTCGAAGCGAAACGGTGCTGTTTCACACAGCCCTATCATATCCCATGTCTAGCCACAGCTTTCTCATTAATCTTAGCTGAGAGTATGAATAGGGACTTTAAACAGATCAGATGATACATGCTAGACCTCATATTCCAACATGGTAACCTTTCCCTTGCTGAGAGTAACATAGGTTTTTGTTTTCCCATAGGCATTTAGGAAGCAAGAATTAGAATGCAAAAGTTGAACCAGGTGGTTGTTGCCCAAACCAGAGCTTTTCAGATAGGTCTGTTTTGAGCACTGCTAAATTCTGACCTCATATTCCCATCCCACTTTTCAGATGGAAAGCGAGAGCATGCTACCAGACATCAAAGCTCCCAGAATTGGTTTCTCCACGCCCTAATAAATGTTTTCTTAAAGAAAGGAAAATTGAGAAACAAGAGTATACCCCAAATGAATATAGTAGCATTGGAATGAATAAGTCAATTCTCTGGAAGTTAAGGCCTAGTATTCTTTATGAAGAATCAGTTTTAGCGCTAAATGCATGTGTAGTTTTTTTTATTTCAGAGCCTAGGACTTAGTTTGCTTCTGTATTACCAAGCTCATCAAAACAAGACAAAAAGCATGTGTAGACTATTTGATTGTAACACTTGTAGTGTTCACAGCATAATCCTGTAGACATTGAAAACAGCAATCCTAAACTAGAGCACCGGGGGCTCCATTGACAAAGCCTACCACCATACTGAAAGTTAAATCTCATTCCCACAGACGGGAGGAGCTGAAAAATTAGATTATACTTGATTGTAAATGCACACTAGATGACAATTAGATCCAATGTGATGGGCAATTCTCCCTTGGATCTAATGAAATTATTTTGCAGGTAATAAAGCATGCAATTCTATTTAAGCAATGTGCTAGCACTTCACCAAACACCTTCAATACTTCAGGTACCTTCTAATAATGTTGAAGTTCCCAGCTATTAGTGCTGAGTTTACTGAATGGCAGTCTCAATTACTGCTGGATTATTATATGAAAAAATGATTCAGAGAGTGATAGGGGGAATGGGCAAATTCTTGAAAGCACTTACCAGAGTAAAAGCAATTCTTAGAAATAAAAAGAAAAAAAAATCAATAAATCCCAAGTCTCTTAAAGGCGCATAATGAAACTTCTATTTGTAAATCGTGTGGAGATAGTGTATATAAGCAATAGCGCTTGCTGTTTGGGCCTTCTGCTGTATGTTTAATAACCCAATGGAACAATTCAGGGCCTAAGGTAAAGCCAAATCATTTTTATTTTTCCTGTTCTGATGAAAAACCAATAGATCTGGCTGAGCAAAGATGTTCTGTTTGCTTTGCTTTGCACTTACCAGAGGGATCAGAACCAGCACAGGCTATTTTCATCTTCTGTGCTTCTTAACATTTACTCTTGCCTATGAAGGAAATGGTGAAGTCAACGGCAATAATACAGGAGGCCTGTAATAAAAATGAAATGTACTGTAAATTAAATAAGAAGTATCTCAGGCTTGAAATCATTTTACATAGAGCTTTTAAGAAAAAAATTTAATGCAAATCCCCAGAGGTTATGATTTTCTCCCAGCCACCTCTTCATTTAGTTTAGGACGGTCATACTTGCACTCTAACAATCAAGATTTTTAAACTTAGAATGGAGCAGTGATAACACAACACAAAGTTACCCACTTTCTTCAAAGACCCAAGAGCAGTAATCAATGCTGCAGATTTGGAAAGCCTTAATGTGTTGCAGTTTGCTGATCACAGTGGAAGTGGAAACAGACAGTAATATTTGGGAAACACTCAAGTGAAAACTTCAGATAATTCCTACTGAGCCTTACTACAGCAACAAGAAATCATTCTCTACATTGAAACTTCAAATTGCTTCAGGCCTAAACCTTAGCTTACATTTAAAAAGGGATAGTCTTCTGTAAAACCAAAGATACGCTTTCTTCCTTCAGAAAAACTCTAAACAAGAGTCAGGTGAATATAGTACCATGTTTATAATTATATTCTGAAACCCCCATTTTTGATTATTGATTTCGATAGCTGTTCAGAGCTGCAGTCTGCACTCCCACACACTCTCTAGAATTTAGGCAGAATGCCAGATGCATAACATCAGGATTTAATGACAACATTTCAGCAGCCCAGAGCTAGTGCTGTACAGTTGGTGAATACTAATGCTCACCAACAAGAGAGAAAAGAGGACAAAAACACTTTATTTCCCCAGTATTTTTCCCCCATAAAACACAACTAAAGGTAAAGGAGTTGAAACTAAAGCAGCAGGCCTTAAGCTTTTATTTCTAATTTTGTGCAGAATTAATGGGCAGTAGAAAAAAGAAACAAAAATGTGATGTTCCTAAGAAGATAGTATGAACCTTCTTTTTAAAATCAGTGTCTTAATCTTTAGGCTTTGCTCTGGGAAAACTTCTCACTGCAGTCAAAGGCGACCATGACTTACAGGTACAGTCCACCCTGGCTGCATGCCCATAGGTATGAATTATTCAGAGGTCTGAATTATAAAGAAATAGATGGCACAACCAGTTTAATAATCTCTGCAGTAGTGAACAAAATGGTTTGTTTTTCTTTAGGTAAATTCACAAGGCAGTTTCAGGTGTTAGTGTTTTGGCTGGGATACAAAGAGAAATTTGAAACATTTTAAGAAGCTGGCAGTAAATCCAAGGGTCTCAAGACAAATGAAACTGTGTTTAATTTGGCCAAGCAGTGACCACATTAGTGGACTCAAGCTGTCTTACTATGGTAAGACTCATAGTATTAAAAGGGACTCCAAGGGGCAGAAGTTACACATAAACTGATTTAAGTGATTGGAAACAGGTTTAAACCTGTAAAAGAGCAGAAGTTCAGTGTGCATAAACCGCTTGCAAAATGGCCAAAACCAGTTTAAGATACATCTGGATGGATGTAGTATCAGATTAACTGATTTAGGTCAAATTGGTTTATGGAACTTCTGTCCCAGATCCCTTCTCTGTTCAAGATAACTCACAGTCCCCCAGCATCCCAGGATGCTTTGCAGCTCTGGGCTGTGCTGTCTGCTCGAGCAGAGCAGGGACTACCTCACCTCTCTGCTCCCTAGCCTATATCTGTCACCCCATAGGGACAGTGGGGGGTCAGGGGAACAGACCCCAGACCTCCCTAGCCTGAGTCTACACAGTGTGCTGGGGGCCAGGAAAGCCACTATGGTGGAGGCTTTGTACCTCTTCACAGCCCTCCCCTTGCTGTGGGCAGCCTGGGCTTGACTCAGCCGTTGCTACTGAGGGAGGGAGAAAGAAGCTCCCAAGGCCCCAGGGTTGCAGGCAATGGGGAGCCCCTGACTCAGGGGGCTTCCTCCACCCTGGCCCAGGGAACCCTAGTTGGGTGCAGCCCTGAGGATTCAAGGGGAATCCCTCACCCCCCTTCCCAGCTCCTGATTGCTTCAGCTGCTGCCACAGGATGGAGGGAGAAGTCCTCTGGCCCGGGTCCCTGCCCATGCATCCCAGCATGGGGATGCCAGGGAGTCCCTACCTTGGGGGGCTTCCCCCCAGCCCAGCCCAGGAACCCAGGCTGGGGAAGCTCCCCCAAGATGAGCCAGCACCTGGACAGGAGGCTCCTCAACCCCCGCGGCGGGGCAGCAGGGGTTTGGGGGCATGTACTCGGGAGCCAATCAGGGACAGTGCCACTTTTTTCATTGTCCTACTGTTGTTACAGTTAGGAATGTTTTCCTCAATATTTAATCTATACCTGCTTTACCATGGCTTAAACCCACTTTCTCTTGTCCTGCCTGGTTCTTATGGGAGAACAATTTTTTGTCATCTTCTTTATGGCAGACTTTCAAATATTCGAAATGTGCTATCATGTCCCCCTTTAGCCTCCTTTTCCTGTATTGATTTTCATCATGTAAGCTTTTAAAGTAATGACAACAGAACACACTGACTGGCTACCCTGCCTGTGGGCCTAGGGCAGCTTTAGCAGAAATAACCAAAGCCATAATTTTATAAAGCTAAAGCATGGTTTCAATTCCCTCTCCCTGCCCTGGGAAAGGGCTGCTAGTACTTACTAGAGATCCCAATGAAGTCAACAGCCTTTGCATCAGGGAACAGTCGCAAAGGCTAGCAGCACCCTGAGCGCAGAGCCAGCTATGCCATCAGAGGAAGAAAAAGCAGCAGACATTATACAGCTGCCTCAAGATTCTTGGGTTGTAAACCAGAATTCTTCACACAATTAAAAATCCACACTCCCTGTGCCCTTCTGCACAGCCATCAAAACCTCCAAGGAAGGAAGAATATGGCAGCATACAATAACAACAGACAATGGCTTCCCCTCCTGCTTTAACTTTAGTTTGCCTAGATGTTTTCTGCAATCTGAAATGTTAGGATTGCATCATGATCATCTAATGTGTTTATGCATCTTGGGAACTTTGAAAAGATCTACCAGTGTTTCACAAATCTGCTGGGTCAAGTACTTGGTCTGTGAAATAAGTACGTCTAAACCCAGGTGCCACTAGTACAGGCCAATAGAGAAAAGAGGTGGGATTGGGTTGGAAAAACTGTTAGTTGGTAATACATTACTTTTACACAAGGAGCTGTGGCTAAGATTAGGTCTGGAAACTAGCAAGACAACAACCTTCATTAAACTGACCTTGGAGGTTTAAATGAACCAAAATGCTAAATTATCCCAGGGAGTGCTCCTGGCTGTGCGTAGTTTGAGATCCTACTCCTACCTATTTCTTTTCATCAACAAGCTCTAGATAAACCATAACAAACTCTACCAAAAAACTCTAGATTATTAGCAAGAAAATTACCTTCCAGGATAAGTGTTACAAGAAAGAGCTTCATGTCATTGATGCTGTGCTGCTTGAGTACTTGGCAAGTTAATTTAAAAACATGCTTCCCAACAAGATATTTGTTCCAACTCTTTCTCCTTGTATGCAAGTGCTATTTAAAATCCTGCCTGTCTTCTACAGAGCAGGAATAGACAGTTGATTGCAATTTGCAGTCAAAAGAACATCCAAAATGAACAACGGCAGTATCACACTGCAAGAAGGATGTGGCAATATCATCTGAGCAAACATTGCACAGCTGGCTAAAATAAGTGCTCTTTCACCATATAGAAGAATAAAGGTGACCTGAATGCCAGCCATGAGTGTTAAAATTCATCAATAGATATTCTGCAGCAGTGTCATGCACAAGAATGAAAGTGATGTTGCAGAACTAGCTTGATCTTTAGCGCTTGTGCATGAATTCTTAGCTTGCACACACTAGCCCTGCTCAGTTATTGCTTAGGCCTTCAGTTATGCTGTCAACCTGTGATGTGTCTGCTGCCTGACATCTTGCACAGAGACCATATCCCAACTCAAATGTGGCACCATGAAAACTTTTAGGACTAAATTTCTTACTCAGTGGGCAGTAAGCCTTCCCTGGGAGCATGTATACGCATGCTCCCTCTTGGGAGCAAATCTGCTCCCAATGGGAGCAGTCCAGTACAGGGCTGCTCCTGCCCTGTCTGCCCCCCTGCAGCAGCCATGGGGAGCTCCAGGCTCCCCCAGGGTGCTAGCCTGGGGACTGACAGGTAGCATGGGTCCAGAAGAGGTCTGCCAGCTGCAGCAGCAGCTGTCTCCTTGCCTAGTACACAATCTGGGGGCTGTGCAGTCCCCATCTGGTTCTGGCAGGTGCACAGCCATGGGGATGCAGGTCCAAGGGGATGGATGCTGTCGTAGGTGGCACAAGGTCACAGCCAGGCAGCAGCCTCCGCTGCCAGACTGCTGCAGTGGGTAGAGGGTGCAGGGCCCACTCTAGGTCAGGGCTGCTGCAGCAGTCCAGTTGGCACAAGGGGCTATTGTACCAATATGTCAACTGGCTGGGCCTCAGAAGCTTCTGTCTATTTGTAACATTCAAATACATGGGCCCCAAGACCCACCTGGCTAACTAGTAGCCCCTATTGTATGGGGGCTAATGGGTGAAAGCTACAACAAAATACTTAGGACAACAAAGGCAAAAAACAGAAAAGGAGTGACATAAGGGTCAACGGGTCAAAACGTGAAAATGAGTGCGCCTTAGGGGGACACTAAGCAGAGCCCCCCGGGCCACACCCACCGGTCCTCAAAGGCATCGAAGGAGCTGGCGGACGCTGCCCACTGGTGTTCTGCCCAGAAAGGTGCATGGACAAGTGAGAGGAAAGCGGTCCCACAATCTCAGGCACTTCCCTGGCCACAGCTTCCTTCTTGGTCAAGTACAGGGACCATATGGCCAGGGCCAAGAGAAGGTTGAATAGGAGGTCCCGAGACTTGGTGGGGCCGCAGATGGGGTGACCAAAAACAAAAAGGTGGGGGGTGAAATTCAACCAGAACTCAAGAGGAAGTTCTGGAGGTGGAGGTGGAGGGGCTGCAGCCTGGTGCACTCAAGGGTCATGTGCACCAGGGTCTCCCTCTGCCCGCAGAAGGGGCAGGAGACCGGGGTGTCTGTGAAGCT